CCCCCCAATTTTGGCAAGGGAAACAAGATGTAACCCTACAGTTCACAAATATTACACACTTAATGTCGCGAGGGAAAACTAATTTCCCGAGGGACCAGACATTAAGTATTTTGTTGATAGCAATAATTGAGAAATATTGAAAGGTCAGTTTACGAAATAAGAACTTTATTTAGCAAGCTAAATGCATGAAAACTGACCATGATTTTACAAATACAACTTACATGCGGTCTTGTATTTCTCTTGGAATATCTTTTGGACTGTGCTTGCATTTTCCAAAACTAACAAGAGTAAAGAATAAACAAGAAACATGACAAAACATGTTTATTTTTATTCGTAAGCTGGATTCATCAAGTCCATATTGAATTTGAAATGCAAAATGAGGTTTATCTTTTACTATCCCAGCCATGGCGCCAAGGATCAGAACGCCCTTCCACCCTTTCTTCTAGAAAGTAATTAAAGAATTGAAACATCTCAAACTGCAAGAAGAAGACCAATAATATTTGAAATGCATGCAAAACCATGAAATGCATGAAATAAATCAGGGATAGACAATAGATAGATGGCAATTCTACTTTTTATACATTTTCCAAAACTACCAAGAGTAAAGAATAAACAAGAAACATAGCAAAACATGTTTGTTTTTATTCGTACGTGCCTGAGTTTTAATTGTATGCCAACCATTAATCAAATAGATAACAATCAATCTTGAGGTGCGAACTAATATTAGCAGAAATATAGGCACAACAGCTTCAAGGAGAACTCAGTTGAATAAAATATAAATCATATTGGTTCTTGAATGAAATTATTTCTTATATTTATATCAAGAAGAACTCAGTTGAATAAGATATAAATCATATTGGTTCTTGAATGAAATTATTTCGTATGTTTCATCAATGAAAGCACTTGATCGTAAACTTTCGGTATATTTACTATTGATTTAACCGTATAATAAGTAATTATATTTTTCCTTTATTAATGAAAGTCAATCGCACCCTTTTCATTTTCCATGGTTACGACAAGGCAACATGAATATTGGACCGACACTAGAAAATCAAACCACCGTGTGGCGAACTCGTGGATACTAGTTACGCTTTTCAGAGATTGGGCTCCCTGTGTCCTTCTTATGCTTATTGACGGATTCCAGTATTCCTCTCGATTTCACTTCGTTCACTTCACTTCGTGGCAAATAAATGGCAGCTTTTTAGAATTTTTACGGTAATTTCRATTATTTTTCGTAAAGAACGTTAAATATAATGCCCATTCTTGTATTGTTATGTTTTTATGTAAAAATTAACTGTAAAATGTAAGACAATATTTCTTTATTTTTCGGCGTTTCGGAGGCGCAAACAAATTGTCAGATTTTTTCCGCGGTCCCCCGTTTGTGTCTGTTTGATAATTATCATTATTTCTTAATTAGCATGTGTCAATCACAGGCTCTATAAATAGCGAATATAATTGCACATCAGACCATAATTCTTCTGGAAACACAAAATCACAACTCATCTATCAAGGTATGTTTCCAGCTTCTTCAAACACCTTTGTTCTAGTCTTCTCATGCTTTTAGCCTACAAAAAATGCATCTGTTTTCAATACTCTGCGCGTTGAATCTAATTGTAATTGGATTGTTAGCGAGCAAATGAACATTTTCGTTGTGCGTTTTATTGCAACAAACATTTTCTCGGATAGATTAATAAACCACAAATTCTCACCCTTTTTTGTTTAAATTAACAACAAAATAAGGCTTAAACAAAAGTAGTGGAGAAATTCGGGATAAAATCGCTTTCGCACTGAAAACGATTATTAAGGTATGAACTGGGTTATGCTGCTAGTAGTGCTATTGACTAGTCACTACTCATGCTTTTTTCCAGTACACAAAAGCGTTTTCACACATGAGAGGCTAGTCATTACAGAACAAGTTATTCGAATTGGTCGCCATATTTCAATTCGGTGTAGCAGATATCAGAGTGACATTTTTCAGCTTTCAAACAATTGTTTCGAGTCGACACATTTGGCAACGATAAAGTGAATGATTAGAAACTAGTTCTTTACAACCATGCATCACTCCTCGTACGGGGCTCTTCCGTAGGCTCGCTCAATACGTACTAACACTACATTCTATACATGCAGCTTGCAACATACAACCCTTGATCTCAAACTCAAATGTTCATTCTTTAAGGTGGGAGGAAAATCTTAGAACAACCCTCGTGGCAAGTGTGAAGTTAACATGTACACATCAAACAAACTCACCTTACAAATTATCTAGTCTGAGCTGGGGTTCGAACCCATACCAAAGCCTCTTCGGCATTTGGTACGAGACAGATGCTGGTCGGCGTATCATCTTATTTAGTTTTACTAATAAATTTCCGCAAAAATTTGAAATTTTCAGGATCGCTTTGCAGTAAGGAAGCTTCTTACAGAATGCCCAAGAAAATTTTGTTGATTTTAGTATTGTGCATGGCCTCGGTTTTCCTGTCGAATGGCGTGGAAGGTAAGGTTGGATTTGTAGCATCAATACTATGTAAACATGGCCAGAAATTCCGAATGGTCCTGCGCAGTAGGTTCTCTAGACCTTAAAGACAATTCAAGCTTATGAATAAATGCAGAAAATATATAGGTACTCACARGWTTTGTAGTTTTTTCTCGATGCTCAAGATCTTTAAAACTCCTCATATGCTTGTCATTTTAAAAGACACGATATGGAATTGTCATATAACTGTTGTTTCGTAGAAATAAATACAATTTTTGATTCTATTAAAGTGTCATTCCTAAGACGAAACATGACCGCCATTTTGCAATGCACAAACACAAAACACAAACCTGCGTCCATCAAAGAGTATTATATTGATTTTTTGAAAGTAAATACCTTAAAAATCATAAAGTTCCGTGTCTTTTTCACATTTTCTCCAAAAATAAATTCAAAAAAATCAAAAGATTTCTTTCGATTTTAATATCCTGTAATAAGCTATGCTTCGTAGAACACCTTTCAGCTTCAACCTTCTGACAACGCAAAAGAATACCCTAAAAGTTTACTAAAACATTCCTTTCCTCCTTATCCTTTCCTTATCCATTCCTTATCAATACTCAATTGTTCAAGGCGTTCTTAGCATAGACAGATACCAGCCTGGCAACTAAGAAGATAAAACCGGGCAAAATTCGCTCGAAATACAAATTGCAACTTTCCAAAAACTTAATGTCCGATTGTTCTAAATCTCGGAGATCTTGGTTATCATTCGCAGATCAACCAAATATCTTCTTCCTAAGTAACACAAGAACACTGAACTCATTAAAGCTGCAGAAGTAATATGAATTATATAAGCATTACATAAGCTATGGAACACCTCATTTTATTATCGCGCGCGCTCTACTCTGTTTGCTAACGTTTTCTTTTGCTTTTAGTCTTATGTTCAAATGTTCAAATCTGCCCTCAAGRTGACAATGTAGGTCGAACGCTGTGGAAAATAAATGTAAAAATACTCCAGAAAGTTGAACAAATTACTACTTCAATTTCCTGTCGTATTTGCCAAGCTTTCGACGTGCACATTCATATTCAGGGTAGAGTCGAAATAACGGAAAAACCCCCAAAACGTATGGAACCAGCTCAGCAGAGCGTGCGAAGTAAATGCGCCTGCTGAAAAACAAATGGTTTAAAAATAGCATCAAACTGTGCACATGATGTTTACTAGGCTATATAGGGGGAATTCCTTCTCTTAGTTCAATTTTTCTTGTTGTCTTATAGTACAGCTTGTGTTTCTACACTAAAATCCGAGCATGCATCGAGCTTCTCATCATTTCATGCATATGCTCTATAGCGTAAATATATACTTTGTTGCAGAGACGTTGTAGTATACGTACACATTTATACAAATACCCAAAGCTTTCGTAGGTGAACTTAAATGATTGTAATTCTTTAAAACAAAATGCCTCGCCCCTTTCATCCTTCGTTAAGGATGAATTTTCTTGATCATCCGAGATAATGTTTCAATTTCAGTCAAGACCAGGGCCAGTCCATGCTATTGTTCTGTACGACATATAATAGCTTTTGTTGGTCGGGAGATGGAAGAAGGGGATCGTTGGTTTTGGAGAGGTTCCTGCCCGTCTGGACATGGCTACAAGAAATCTTGCAAAGTTTCCTGGGGGGATATTTGTTGTTTCCCAAGAACTTAATAACAGGTTATAGATAAACTGAAGTTAACTAAAAGGTCAGTAGTTCAAAAAAATGATAAATTGGTCAAATGAATAGTGATTAATTCAAAGATTAAAACTGAAATGTCTTCAGAGTGTTAACTTCGATGTAAGCATGTTGTAATCATGAGCAAATGAATTACAAATAAAATCACAGGAACTCAAAGAGATGGTAGTTTTTGTGCTTTGAATAATTAATATTAATAAAAATGCACTTCAAGAGACGCGGGCAGCACATGGAAGGTTGATTATTACCTCCACTTCGGGGAAATGTTCATTTCAGACAATGTTTATTCATTTACTCCCCAAAATAAGCCAAGCTTTTATACGATTTTCTTTACAAATATTTTTTACCTTGTCTTCGATTTTCCAGGTTTGTATAGGAAATCGTACGTTCTCGAGTTTGAAAGTTCTTGTAATTGTACGAGCCTTTAGGCGAGTGCAATTAAATAACTTTCAAAACATTACGAATGTCTATTAATTGTACGAGAAGATCGTGCGATTTTTTGTTTATAGTTCTCTCAACAAAATTTCAGTAATAAAATGCGAAGCGACGCCGTTCATTTTTGTCTATTTGGCGGCCGATTTTCAGTCCATCGCACAACTGAAATGCATAAGGGACTGTGCAATAATTATCAGGAG